CTCTCTTTCTTTTCTCTTTCTTATATGTCCTTATCTCTGTCCTTCTTTATTAAGAGCTCAAGCGCCCTCAGTACTAAATCCTGTTTATCAAATTCACCAAAATACAATGGGTAGACCTCAGTTTATTTTGTGGAATGTCTATCCCCTCACCCGTTTGTAACCCGAGAGATTACTTATCTTTTGATAGTTGGTGGCAGTTCGCACTCAAAGTCGATCGTGCCACAATTACCTATACCCTTATATCTAAATAGCTAAAATATTTTAATAGCACAACCGTGACTTATAGTGATAGAAAAGAGACATAAATACTCTTTTCTGTTACGTCGATAAAGATCCTTATTTTTGTCTCATTACATTCCAAGTTTGTTATCATGTTCAACAGGGTTGATTTTTCACCACTAATAGCCAGAACTTGCCTTAGGTCGTCTTTAGCACGCAATGTCGCATACTCAGCAGCACATGTATATGCTCGCTGCGTCTAGGGACTAGCTTCATATTGTACAATCATCTAAAAGAAAGTTTGGTCAAAAAAATAAAATTTTGAAATGGCTATGAAGAGAAGCACTGTCTTCAATCCTATTTCTTGTCGTTTTCCCTCAGCATGTACTGCCCAAAAACTTCAGTGATTATCTACATTGGTCTCGTTAATAAAAGCGTAAATTTCCATCTTGGTTGGTGAAGTATTTTTGTATGTCGCAAATGAGCTGTTTGTCAGAGATTCAAAATAAAAAAAAAATAATAATAAATAACCCACTTTGACCTGACTTTATTTCGGGTGACTGTAGAGCGGAATAGAGCGTGAAAAATATTTTGTAGATAGATAGTAAGCAGTAGAAAAGTAAGTGAGAATAAGATGTGGGTCCACACACCACACCCATGGGTATTTATTCACTTTCTGATAGAGGGACTTGTACCAGGTAACTACGTATCTATCTATAAGATGACATAGGTTCGTTCTAAAAACTTCATATCAAAGATTTATCGCGTTCATGTGTGGCGCGTTATTGCCGCTAATTTCTACTGCTAACCTTTTTAGCGCATTGGCCATTATAATTTTGCATACTGTGAAATATGCAACGGAGCGCGATGAGTATCACAGCTCCCACGGCGCTGCAACTTCTAGCAGTAATAAATCCAGACTCTTTCCTACTCTAGACTCATCTCCGCTTATTTCCGTCGAAATAAAAATCTAGAATCATCTAGTCTGTAGGATACATGTTGCCGTTTGTAGATGAAATAAAGACCCCGTGCAAATAAAAAAAGACCCCTGTGCAAATAAGGTGTGTACAGGGCAGTGCAAATAATTTTTTTTATAAGTGAATATTTATTTGCACGGGGGCCGTACAAATAACTTCATCCTTAACAATTGTACAGCGGATTTCTGTCCGTCAAAGTTTTTTTTTTGAAAGGATTAATCTATTTAGCAGCCCATTACCAAATATAGTCAACTTTGAAAACTCTATTTGGCAGCTGGGCTGCCAAATAGCATTACCTTCAGAGCCTTCAACACCTTTACATGCACTACATGAGTCCTAGGCTCGAATCCAGTCAGAGAGGGAAGCTTGCATCTAACATGCGAGCCAAATTTTGTTGCCTTTTATGGGCAACGACATTTTGCTTTCCTCTCCGCTCAATTCAGGGTCTGGTGGAATGAATATAAACAGTGTATTGTACTGATGTACTAAGCATACCAACATGAGTTTTCTTTTTTTTTTTCTGAAATAGAGAAATGAAAATGTTGACATGATAGCAAAAAACTATATCAGTCCCATATATATCACTGCAAGGGATATCTTGCCTCAAACGAAGACGCTCACCATACAATGGACCACTTCATCACTTGTAAGAGAAAAATACAGCTTTGGTTGTTTCCGTGTTTCACATATTTTATTGTCGTTCACACTTTCTGAACATAGATGTTAAGTAATTTAAGGTTGTTATATGGATACTTCACAAACCATAACAGTTGCCATCCCTTCTAATACAACAAGAGTGTTTACATTCCGAACATTTCCTGTTGAACAAGAGGAGACCCAAGTCAAAAGATTCGTGTTATGGGGATGACAACTTGATGATCTTAGAGCCATAAAGGCCCCCATTTCAAAAACAATCAGCGCCGAGAATCTAGAACTATTGAACTATTGAAAAAGAGCATTTGCCAACAATCTTCTATTAAAGAACTGCATGAAGATCGTACCCATTATGGCCAATAAAAGATCTAAAATAATAAATTTTACTTTTTCTCATGATACCACACTGAGCGGAAAGTCATTTCAGCGGAAGAGGGATTGGTAATGTTGTAACTTCGTCGTAGGCGAAGGTTTGCCTTTCTTGTATGTCCTCTCATCAAAGACGCCTTTCTTCGGGTATAATAATATTCATCTAAGAGATACCTCGTTCACAAGATAAAAGAAAACAAGAATAAACATCAGGCACCAAAAGCAAAAGTCTGCAAGAAATGAGGCCTGAATCAAGAATACTTCATTATAGTAGAAACATTAAATCTCTATTTATGATACCATTAATTATACGGTAGCGGCAGGTCTTGTTTACATTCTCATTGTTATAAAGATAATAGTAGTAAAAGATATGAAAGAATAATTAGTGCAAGTGCTGGATTGCTCCGATGAAGCAACATGTAAATCAGGTATCAATCAAATAATAATAGCACATTCATAGATATAATTATACTCTTGCCTTTTTTTCACGAGTGTTCGAAAGCGAGGGTGTCCAAATATTCTGGAGATGTGCCTTTGATATAGGGTCGAACATCTAATGGTGTAATCTTTCTTGCTTCCTTGTCCTGTTCCTCACTTTTATTAACCTTTTCTGCTACTTCTCTTCTTCGTTAGTACTTTCGTTTACTTTTTTATTTTGCGTTTTGTTGTTTGGTGTTTTCTTTTCTTACTTTTACTTTCATTGACTTCTTGGTACTTACCTTACTTACCTGAGACTGTCCACCCTACCACCCTATACAGTCCCTTACCCTTGAAGAAGAAAAAAATATAAAAAAAAAACTTCTTTCCGGAATTTGCTTTCTTTCCTGTACTTTCATTTGCTTTCACTTTCTTGCTATGTTTCCGTTTGTTTTTCTTTCTACTTTCTTGTCATGCTTTCGTTTGTATTCCTTTAACACTTGTTATATTTTTTCACTCATTCTCCTTTACTGGTTCTCTTTCTTGTTATCTTTTGATGGTTTACTTTCTTGCTATCCTTTGATGGTTTACTTTCTTATTATCCTTTGATGCTTCACTATCTTGTACTTTCATTTACTTCTTGATAGCTACCTTGTTTACTTGAGACTGTCCACCCTACCACCCTATACAGCCCCTTACCCTTGAAGAAAAAAATATATAAAAAAAACTTCTTCCCGGTATTCGCTTTCTTTTCTGTACTTTCATTTGCTTTCACTTTTTTGCTATGCTTCCGTTTGTTTCGCTTTCTATTTTCTTGTCATGCTTTCGTTTGTATTTCTTTAACGCTTGTTATCTTTTGACTCATTCTCCTTTGCTGGTTCTCTTTCTTACTATCCTTTACTAGTTCATTTCCTTGTTATCCTATGATGGTTTACTTTCTTGCTATCCTTTGTTAGTTCATATCCTTGCTACCCTTTGATGGTTCACTTTCTTACTATCCTTTGCTAGTTCATTTCCTTGCTATTCTTTGCTGGTTCGCTTTCTTGCTATCCTTTGATGGTTCGCTTTCTTGCTATCCTTTGATGGTCTACTTTCTTGCTATCCTTTGATACTTCCTTTCTTATTATTCTTTGCTGCTTCACTTTCTTGCTGTGCTTTGATGGTTCATTTCCTTGTTATCCTCTGATGATTCATTTCCTTGTTGTCCTTTGGTGCTTCACTTGTTATTCTTTGCTAGTTCATTTCCTTGTTATCCTTTGATGGTTACTTTTTGTTATCCTTTGGTGCTTCACTTTCTTGTTAGCCTTTGATGGTTCAATTCCTTATTACGCTTCCATACTTTATCCTTCAATGCCTCACTTGGTTGCTACGCTTCCATTTCTTTCTTCCATGCTTGACTTTCCTGTTATGCCTTCATCTCTTTTTCGGTACTCCACTTTTGTTATCCTTTTCTATGTTTTCCTGGGCGCATCTCTTCCGTGTTATGTTCTATTACGCTTTCCTTCATTGCTTCGCTGTCTTGTTATTTTTTCATTTGCTTTTCTCGACGCTTCACCTTTTTACTATGCTATCCTTTGTTTTCTTCGATGCTTCACTTCCTTGTTATGCTTTCTTTCTTGCTGCTTCACTTCCTTGTTATGCTTTCTTTCTTGCTGCTTCACTTCCTCATTTGTTTTCCTTGGCTCTTCACTTTTTAAATATACTTTCATGTGCTTCTCTTCGACGCTTCACTTTCGAGTTATCCTTTCCTTTGTTTCCCTTCGATGCTTCGCTTTCTTACGTTGTTTTCATTTGTTTTCTCCCTTTTCTTATTATAGCTTCCTTTTCTTATTATAACCTCCTTTGTTTCTCTTTGTGTGTGCGTGTATGTGTGTGTTTTGTTTTACTTATTATACTTTCGTTTGTTTCCCTTCTGTGCTTCTCTTTCTTATTATGCTTTCATTGTGTGCTTCCATTTTTTTTTTTTTTTGTTTTCTTTTTTTTTTTCTTTTCTTTTCTTCAGTGCTTCCTTTCCTTGCCATATCTTACATTTGTTTCCCTTTTGCTTTTCTTTCTTATCATATTTTCATTTATAGGCGCCGGCATTTCTTACATATCTTTTTGTTTGTTCTTCCCCTCGCTTTACTTCTTTGCTATGCTTCCGTTTGTTCTTTCTCGACTTTCCCTCCTCCTTTCTCTCTCTCTCTCTCTCTCTTTTTTTTCTCACTTGCTTTCACTTACTCCTCCTATGTGCTTCTCTTCCTTAGTTTATTTTCATTCGCTCTTTCTCAGTGCTCCTTTCTCTTTCTTATTTCTCTTTCTTTTGTTGGTTACTTGCCGCTTCCCTTCCTTACCTTACTTTCTCTTACATCGTTTCCTCGTTGCTTACCGCTCTTGGGGGCTATTTTGCCTTTGGTATAGTATGGAGACAAAAAGTATGTAGGTTAGTATAAAGTAGTGACGGCAAGAGAAGGCAACGGTCGTAGTTGAGCGAGAGTTAGGGATGACATAAAGAGTCACAGGGAGAGACGGAAAAAGTGTGTGCGTGCGTGCTTGTGTGTGAATGTATTTGGCAAAGGACTGCGATCGAGACTTACTTTTCAAGAGGTGGGGAGGTGGAGAGGTGGAAAGATAAAGAGGTGGAGAAGTGAAGAAGCGGAGAGGTGGAGAAGTGAAGAAGCGGAGAGGTGGAGAAGTGAAGAAGCGGAGAGGTGGAGAAGTGAAGAAGCGGAGAGGTGGAGAAGTGAAGAAGCGGAGAGGTGGAGAAGTGAAGAAGCGGAGAGGTGGAGAAGTGAAGAAGCGGAGAGGTGGAGAAGTGAAGAAGCGGAGAGGTGGAGAAGTGAAGAAGCGGAGAGGTGGAGAAGTGAAGAAGCGGAGAGGTGGAGAAGTGAAGAAGCGGAGAGGTGGAGAAGTGAAGAAGCGGAGAGGTGGAGAAGTGAAGAAGCGGAGAGGTGGAGAAGTGAAGAAGCGGAGAGGTGGAGAAGTGAAGAAGCGGAGAGGTGGAGAAGTGAAGAAGCGGAGAGGTGGAGAAGTGAAGAAGCGGAGAGGTAAGAAGGTGGAGAAGTGAAGAGGTGGAGAAGTGAGGAGAAAGGAAGAGGAAAAAAAAACAAAAGAAAGAGCGAGCTTAAAAATGAGAGAAAAGCGTCATTCTCCCAATCTCACTCGTCGCCACCATTTCTCCTTATCTTTGTTGAAAGCGGACATAATTATCCGAATATAGGCGAAATGAAAGTGATTGGACGCCATTTTGAAACAGCATGAAATTCAAAGAAAGGGTGGATGGAAAACTGTCGGCTTGGACAGCCCGGAAGCGATCCCGTTGCCTTTCATTGCGACAATTTTCGCATTTGTTGACGTAATAAGCGAAAGTGATACGACACTGAGAAGAACGAAGCAAAAAGCATCGAAGGTATTAAACTTAATGACTATGAGTAGACACTACTCACACCACGACTTTTGACCCCAGACTTACACATTGTATGCTTTTTTTGCGGTCGCATTTTCTTAAGGAACAAAAAAAAAATTGATAGAGAAAGATGCATTAATTTTTCATGCATCTTTGGGTGTAGCCACACTTTTCATTACATCTCGCTCTTCTCTCTTTTTTATCGCTTCTAAAAGTATAATAGACAAGGATCCAGGCTTGTCATAGACTCTAGTGCCTTCTAGTTTCTGATTGAAAGTAATACAGTGTGTTCAGGTCTGCTACAGTATCTGGTAGATGCTTTTCATGGAGCCCATCACCTTTCTAGCCCATGTCCCAAAGGTAAGCCTGCCTTATTTTTTGTTATGACCATCTTGTTGAGCGAGCAACAACAAGCAACACGTAAAAAGTATGTAACGTGTGTGTCGAGGAAAATATTATATCCAAGCTCTGCAGGGCCTTCAGGGCCTTCAATACTTTTGATTCAACACCTTCATTACTATTGTATTTAATTCTTCGCATTAAATTTATTTATCCCTCTTTCAATGCTTTCCCTACCTTCACGTACATTATTCCTTTTGCTTCATGTGACAATGTAATGACATCAACCCTCCCTGTGGAAGGAAGATGCTTTTGCTTTTAAAGCAACCGACTATTGCCATATTCGGATAATTATGTCCGCTTTCAACAAAGATAAGGAGAAATGGTGGCGACGAGTGAGATTACCCAAGAAATCATGCATGGATATTCAGCGAATAAACAAGAATGCAAGAATAGCAAAATGGTGTCTGTTGGACAATGTAAACACTTTAAGGTTTGGTGGTAAATGAGGTGCAAACATTTTGATGATGACTGACATAAGGATTGGAGCTGTGTGTCACCAAGGAGTACCCACCATCCCGCCTAGTGCAGGTTGCCGGTTCACACAGCAAGATAGTGCTTACTTTGAGTATTGCTCCATGGGTGCTCCTTATTTATACTTGTGCAGGAGACAATAGAAGTGCTTCCATGGTGAAGAGTCCAAGGAAGTGCTTCTCAATATATATATATATATTGAAGCCTCTCTTCCAAAGCCAGTTGTTCATAACATAACAATAGGCACCAGAACCCCTCATTTTCGGAGCAGTACATTAATAAGTTCACCCTCCTATCATCTAAGCAATGCCGCCTCTACTAAATTTTCAATTTTCGGAGACTGCATTTTAAAGCTTTTTTTTTTTTTTTTGTGTGAATACTTTTTATTAAGAGATTGCTTGCTATCTAGCTATCTAGCTTACCTGGTTACTATCCTAAGCTACAAGAAGCCAGACTCTTAGCCACCTTGGAAAGCGCTTTTCTTTGTCACCATCGAAAAGACTCTCCAAGATGTTGTCCGGAGCACACCACGTGGAGGTGGTCTGGCATATCGTGCTCCGTTGGTCAGGCCCCATGGCCTTGCAAACGCCCGCACACACACACATTTATTTACCCATTCCCATCCCCATTCCCTTTCCCATCCCCATTCCATTTCCCTTTCCCTTTCCCATTCTGGACCGAAGGGGCTCCGCCATCGCAAGGCTCGTTAAAGAACCAGCTCAGGCTCATGCCCGTTCGGACCTACCTTAGATATGCATTGGTTATTGCACCTTGGATGTGCATTGTTGCTATGCTAAAAAGTGCTTTGTGTTGTGTTAGTAAGGGTTTTTTTTTTTTTTTTTTTTTTTTTTTTGGCTTTCTTATGTTTTTAATTGGCTTTTTTTTTTCTTTTTTCTGATATGAGATCTTTTTTTTGCTTCTTTTTTTAGGCTTTTATTTAGTCTTTTTTTTTTGGTTTTTTTTTTTCTTTGGTTAATTTTTTTTTAATTGTTTTTTTTCTTTGGGTTATTTTTTTTTCTTTGGTTTTTTTTGGTTTATTTTTTTTTCTTTTTTCTTTTTTCTTTTTTTTCTTTGGTTTATTTTTTTTTCTTTTTTTCTTTGGATTTTTTTTTTTTTTTTTTTTTGGTTTCTTTTTTTCTTTAGTTTTTTTTTTTGAGGTATTTGATTCCGGAGGCGCTTGTTTTTGCCTGGATGGACTGTTCGACCTTTCTTTGGTTTAGTCCTTTTGCTGGTGGCGCCGAGCTTTCGTTACCAGTGCCTTCCAGACCACACGATGAGAAGTGGCCTGGTCGCTATGATTTGGTGTTGTTCGTGAAGCCTTGGCCATCATACCCGAGATGGGATGGGCTGGCTATTTGGCCGCGGAGAAGGCCGTCGTTCGACTGCGGTAGACTATGAGGCCGTTTAGAGCGTGGCTGTTTAGAGCGTGGCCATCTGGAGCGTGGCCAGTTGAATACGGCTTTTCGTTGGAGTGCAGCCGTTCGAGTATGGGCGCCTGAGTGTGGCAGCCTGGCTGTGCGTTATGAAGCCCCAGTTGCTTTAGGCAGCTTCATGTCGTTGCAGTCTAATCGTGGAATGAAAAGAGAGACACAAGCAGAAAAAGAATAATCAGAACAAGGACAGTGAAGCACAGAGTGACAGTGTTGAGAACTTCAGTGAGAGTGATTGTTTAGGGAGTGTTGCTTACCTTTTGTCTTGGTTGAGGAGGCCGATGGTCGAGGAGACCGAGGAGAAAGAGAAGAGAAAAGAAGAAAAAAGAAGAGTCAAATGGGTCCTTTTTATATTGGTTTCTTATTATTATTATTAACGTTCGCGCAAGAGGAGAAGGGCGAGGAGTGATTGGTTTCAAAAAGGCGGCTATACTAAGTACCTTGCTTGCTGTACGCTCAAGAGCGACAATAAAATATCAAACAAAATAAAAATAAAATAATATACGTGTCTTTGATGTCATCTGTCATATTTCATATGATAAAGAAGAGACTCTCACGATTGAAAGTGGGAATAATGCTCTGTCCTCAAGACTCATAAGGAAAACTGTCTATAAACAACAGAGCATGAACTGTATTGCTCTCGAGCTTGTTTACTCTTATTGATAAAGGGGATCATCTTCTTTTCCTCTTCTTCTATTTCATTTCTTCACTCCTAAAAGAGATGGGATAGACTGTCGTTGGGCCTGTACTTTGGCAGCTTGCGTTTTTCCAGAGTGTGGTGGAAATAACACATGACATTCGTCAGAATACCTCTCCGCCTTTTTTTATTTTATTTTTTATTTTCATGCATACAATGTAGAATACATTAAGATTTGAAGGTGAAACAAAGTATCAACGTTTATATATCGACCAGTAAAAGGCACACGATCGTTTGATGATAATATATGTATATGGAGTTTTTTTTTTTTTTTTTTTTTTTTTAATCAGCTTCAATCACTTTGATCAGTTTCAGTCAAAGTCTCCATTCCACCAGATAGACTTTCCCCTCCTTTTACTCATTCAAGCATAAGTTTCCACATACAGCACTTTCTGTCTTTCCCACTCACCTCTTTTTTCTATTGAATGGTCTACGAAGGATGGCCTATTCACATTGTCATAGGTGCCATGGATGTATGTCCCACCCGCACCACCCTATTAGCTCGAAAGGTAGGTGCAAGTCGGCTGAATATGATGGATTATTTCGAGAAAGAATCAGAGCTGTTATGCCTTCCTGGGGTCTTTGGCAATGCCAACGGGCTGAACATGTCCACGACCACTCAAATCATGACCTCTGACGGCGATAACGAGACTGAAATATATTTTGTAGATAGATCGTGAGCAGTAGAAAAAGTAAGTAAGAATTAGATGTGGGCCCACACCCATGGAGGTATTTATTCATTCCCTGGTAGAGGAGCCTGTAGCGGGTAACTACATATCTATCTATAAGATGGCATTGATTTGTTCTAGAACCTCATATCGAAAATTTATCTCGTCAAGGTGTGTGGCGCGTTATTGCCACATAAGTCACATAGACTTACCAAACACTTGCAGACAAGGGATCTCCATCACAACCCGTTCATTACGTAGGTTCTCGTCAATCGTGTCCTTGGCAAACCTCATTAGGCTCCATTGGTCTTCGACAAATAAATGTAGGCTTCGCTTGTCCTTAGACGACTTGGTCTCAGCATAAGCCGCCTCAAAAATGTACTTTCGAATCGTCACATCTGGTTTCAGCGGATCCCCTTGCCGTACGCCGTACTCCAGCGAGGATCGGTTAGCCAATCAAGCGCAAAAGCCTAGTCATCCGCTGGGAAGAAATAAGTCATCAATGGATCCAAAGCTCCGCGCGCAAATGAGTCTTCAAGCTTGTTTGAGAAGGGATAGCTCTTTTCTGCCAACTCCTTAGAGCTATGTTCAATCCACAAAGATTGAGGAAAATAAAATGTTTGCGCTTGATAGTTTCCCATCATAACCAAGTACCTGTTGTTTGCTGTGAGTGATATGGGTGAGCGTAAGTACAGTGGTAGGAAGAGGATAAAGACATTTTCCTTCTCATTATCTTTGAAATCGCAGCCTTGGACTCGGATGCGTCCTGTGTGGGTCATCTCTCGGCTGAGCTGTGTACAGAGAGCGGCCACTGAGTTAAGCAAAAAAAAATAAAATAAAATAAAATAAAATATATTAAAATAAAATAAAATATATTAAAATAAAATAAAATATATTAAAATAAAATAAAATATATTAAAATAAAATAAAATATATTAAAATAAAATAAAATATATTAAAATAAAATAAAATATATTAAAATAAATAAAATAAAATAAAATAAAACAAAATAAGTAAATAAAATAAAATAAAATAAAATACAATAAAAAAGAAAGCGGCGTAGCGGGAATTGAAAATGGGTAATCTGCGCGCTTGTGATATTGTTGGTTTTAGTTTTAGTCACGTGTAGAGGGTTCGCCACCAACTATTTAACGAGCAACAGCTCAGGAAAA